GCCAGCAGTTTGATTCTTGCTGGCTCGAGGTTAACTCAGTCTTCCATCCTTCCAAGATTGGTAAAATGAGGACCCAGATTGTTGGGGGCAACATGCTAACTCTGTAAACCACTTAGGGAGGGCTGTAAAGCACTGTGAAGCAGTATATAAGTCTTAAGTGCCATTGCTATTCCTATCTTTCAGCCAGCTGTATTCTTTTTCTCTGGTATATATTGTTTTCTTTTACATTTCTTTTAGAATTTTAATTGCAAGCTGTCCAGAGTCACTGTGAAGTCATCCTTGAAAATGAATGAGTAAATAAATTATAGGAAGCTACTGTGTACTTTTTTAGGATATGATGAGAACATGACAGAATGGAAGTAAACATATACACACATAATTATATACAAAGCTTCTGTGGGGATATGGCAGTGGCCTCATAACTGGATGTCCAATTTAGCTATCAGGCAATCACCTTTGGCATCACTTCGTGCAGATCTTCTAGGGAACCAGAGAATGTACATTGTGGGCAGTCTTGCACAATATGTTTAATAGTTTGCATATCAGCACCACAATCACAATATTGTGTACTACTGTACAAAGTACCACTATGTACTGATTTAGGTCATATAAGCATTGTTAAACTTATGACAATTTTCCCAGAAAGTTAAACAGCTCTTTCCCATAATTTCCCTTGAAGTTGTGGGGAATTGAATCTGAGCTAAGGTGCTTATCCCAGTGGAATCAGATTGGTCCAGATACATATTGTTTATGAAACAAGTTTAATAACACTCAGAAAATAATCTGTATTGCCTAAAGCAGGGGTCTCCAACCTATGGGCCATGGCCCACTACTGGGCCATAGCCTGCTGGCTACAGGGCCGCAGGACAGGTGGGCCGAGGGACAGGCTGCGGCCATGTGGCAAAGACAGGGTGCCGTGTGGCAAAATGAGGTGCCCTAACGCTCACACGGCAAAAACGGGGCAGGGCTAGCAAGTGTCACGTGGGTGCTATCGCCGCCCCATTTGCATCTCGCGCATGCTTGTGACCTCCTTTGTGCGCATGTGTGCTTAAAATGCTTCCCCTTCCCTTTCCCTTTGGTCCGCCAACCGAGAAAGGTTGGGGACTTCTGGCCTAAAGCTAACAAGAATCTTTAACCTACACTATAGCAGAATCATCAGGAAATTTCAGACAGCAATAATGAAATCATCAGGAAATTTCAGACAGCAATAATGAAATCATCAGGAAATTTCAGACAGCAATAATGAAATCATCAGGAAATTTCAGACAGCAATAATGAAATATACTAACACTCTTCCAAAATTCTAAGTAGTCATAGGTAGACCTGGTATCATATGAATGTTGGCCAAAATCATTGATTTATGAGATGTAGAGGTTCAGCTGCCTTCTTTGGGTAAATCAGTGGTAAGGATGATTTGTTATCACCTCTTTTTGGGGGGGAAATTTAAAAAATCCAAATGGCTGAATTTCTGCTTAAAAGAAATTCACTGGATAAAAAGTGTATGTTTGTGAGAGGGAAATCTTGTTCTAGATTTCACCATGTTATCAGGTGCAGTACTTCATATAGTTCTTTGAGACATTTGCCTTAAAAGAGAGAGGAATTAAGACTTTCCTTTAGACACAGTCTGCTAATATCAGATCTTCTGAATAAGATTCCGGAACGGGTAGTGGTTCTTCCAATCAAGACAGTCTTGAATGATACAAATTGTTTAGATGCATTTCTGTCTGGATCCAAGGTGGACTTTGAGAAAGGAACCAGTCTGACTATCCTAGTTGGTAATTTATACTGAGGAATTGACAAGCAACAAGGAACCCTGTTCTTGTTGTCTTCTCAGAAGTTCCCACTTAAAAAACAACAAGAACCTGTTACAGTATTTCCTGGCTTATCAGATATGGGTAGGCTTTTATTTCCCTGGCTTGTTTTCTGATCTACTGATAGTTAGATTGTGTACACCTTCCAGAGACACTCTCCGAGAGGTGGGCAGTATTTCTGGCTGATTAGTTGCCTTTTTCACAACTTGGTCTTTAATATCTCCAATATATATGGGATTATGACATTTTAGTGTGACATAGGCTGATAATGAGATTAGATGTAAGTGACAAAATACTACATTTTTTGCCTTCTCTTTCTTGAATGCTTGCTAATCCTTTCCATCTATTCAGACATTGATAGTGCTGTTGATACGGAAGACTGAAATCATCAAATCTTCCTCCTGAACTCTCATATTTCAAAAATAACAATCGAATAGATAGGAAGAGTATAGTGTACAACAAATGCCCTCTTCTCCAACAGATAGCTTAGGTGAAATAAGAATGTGTGGCAGGGATGATTGAAATGTTCTTTCAATCACATGTTATTGTTAATGAAGGAGTTCCTTACCAGCAGTTTATGAATAACAAATATTCCTTCTCCAAACGCTAGCACAGTAGGAAGAAAGGTCGTACTTGATGTAGATTATAGCAAATCAGTAACTTTTATAAATACTAAGCCTCAGAAAAGTTAATTATTTTTCTGTTCCTACACTACATTAGCACTGCATTATGATGCTGGCATAGCCTAAGTGAAATCTAACCTCTTCAGTAGGTGGAGGAAAGCAGTATATTTTTGGATTCAGTTTTTCTTTCTGCTGTTTCAGGTGGAATGTAGTTTTGATATAAGACTAAGTGGGGGAGTGATTCTTTCTCTCTCTCTCTCTCTCTCTCTCTCTCTCTCTCTCTCTCTCTCTCTCTCTCTCTCT